AAATAGAGTTAACGAAGCAAGAGATCAATTAAATAATCTAATAGATAAATTGTTGAAACGTTCAAATCATTCGAATCGTTCGAAACTCTCAAAGGACTCAAAGAGCTCAAAAACCTCAAAGACTTCAAAGACCTCAAATATTTCAAAGAACTCAAATATTTCAAAGAACTCAATAACCCCAAAAAACCCAAAGAGCACAAAGAGCTCGAATCGCTCAAAAAGCTCAAAAAGCTCAAAAAATAATAATCAGGCATTTCATAATGTTAAATTTTATGAAATTTATGAACAAGAAGACCTTCAGAAAAGAAAATATCGGAAAAACTTTTTCAACAAGTTAAAAATCGAAACAAAAGCAAATTATAATGTTGGAGGAAATTGTCGGTGGGGAATTGGATGTAAAAGAAATTTATGTAAATTTAGTCACCACCTAATCATTTTTTGATGGTCAAAATATAAAAAGAAAATTTAGGACCATTAAGAATTAGGAAGGGATATGGCGAGACGAGAAAGCGAAATAATCTTTATTATTTTTTTTTTTTTCGTGTAATAATTAATTACAAAACAAATGTACTTTCACGCGCGTTATCGTATATAAATAAATAAATAAATAAAGAGTATAAAATTATTTTTTCATCAAGTTAATAATATTTACTTTCCTTTCCAACAATATGTCTTCTTCAGCAACAAGTCTAATTTTTACTTTAATTTGATGGCAAATAGTGATAAGGCTTCGACTTGTAGAATATTTTGTTGAATCATTATTAGGGATCGTTACTTCCATTTCAACATAATATTCATTTCCCGAATCCACGACCATGTTGATTTTATCACCTTCGACTTCTTTCGATGCAAGATATTTTTTTTCCGATTTAACTGGGGAACCACCATTCCATAATCTTGTATATTGTTTTATTCCAGCACCAACTTTCTTTATTTTAACATTTGGATTATGAAGTATAAGTTTAATAGGAAAGATGATCGTTTCACCTTTATCGAAAATGGTACAACCAATCTTCACGTCGTAACTAACACTATCTTTTCTAAAAGCATTCCACTCAATAGCTTCGGGTTTATAAGGAATTTTTGCATACCTAGTAATTGGAATTGTGAATTTTATCACTTTTTTCTTTCCTTGTAATTTGAGAATATTAGATTTACGATAAATGATAACTACGATACGATAATATATTCTTCCCAACCCATCATCGTATTCGATAAGATTCGAAGAAGGTAAATTATTCTCAAGTTTAAATGAAAAAGGTAAATCCAGTTGATTAAGTTTCTCATAAGGATCTTTTTCGCTAAAATCTTTTAGATTTTTTTCTGCCCTCCAAATTAATTTTTCCTCCCTAGCAAATTCATCTTGTTCCGAATGAACAACGGATGTCGTATATCCACGAGCATTCGGTTGATATTCTGTCCAAATGATTTCTTCTTTACCAGAGAATATTATTTCAATCGCTTTTGCTATTAAAGGTTTTGTGGATGGGTAGTTAATTTTCAATACCCCCGACACTCTAGATGGTTCGATGCCTAAATATCCTTGCTGATATGAAATTTTCTTTGGAGAGAAATCTAGAAATACTTTGTTGCTTTGTTTATTTGAATCGTTGAAGGACATTGTAATTTCGAGTGGGGAGAAGGTAAGGGGGGAATGCGTTATATAAGTTAATTAGATAAGGGGGGTTTTTTTTTTTGTGCAAATTTTAAATTTGTTTCTGTCAAGAAGGGTCCAAAATTTCAAACTTGTATGCTATATAAAGGCAGAAATTACAAATTCAAAGTATCTTTATTTTTGTCGTGTTACAATAATGCACGAATGGGGGATCTAAAAGTTTAACCTTAACCATTTTTGTGCATCTCCCAGAGGACGAATAATGAATTACAATCATTACAATGGAAACGAACCGATTTAACACGTGCCTACCTCTTTTTTTTTTTAAAAAAAAAATAAAAATAAGAAAAAAGGAACCTCTTTTTTTTAAAAAAAAGAAAGAAAGTAAAGAACCTCTTAAACTTTTATCAGTTATCTATCACATTGAATCTAAATTGAATCTAAATTGAATCCTAAAATTTATTAAAATTTTTGAGGAAAAAAGTAATATTAATGTTGTTTATCACACGGTAAGGAAAATGTCATTTTTGAAAAATGATAACTTTTATTTGTTTGATATATATATGAAAACCTATTTCCATAAATGGTCTCTATTATTTATTGTTGTGTTGTCCCTTATACCTTTTTGATCGTTAAAAGTTATCTTTTTTAGATTTAATTTAATTCGTTTATTACAAAATAAATAGTGAAGAAATAACTATAAGACGTAAAGTTCTTTTTTTTTTAAAAAAAAAAAAAAAAAAATTTCTATAAAAAATTAAATTATTACAAAACAAATACCATCACAAAAAATGAATCTATTTTTACTCAATCATTTTCACGTGATATGATTTATATTAATAATAGTGATGATAATAAAACAATAGTAAAAGATGCTGTGACTAAAACGATTTTACTAGAATCACTGGAATAATTAGCTACTTTAACAGGAGAAGATTTAGTTTTATTACTTGAAGATTTATTTATTGTACTGCCATTGCCCGCCAATTCCAGGTAAGGAGCGTTATCACCGACACATTGAGGTACAGTCATAATAGTCAAATTTGGAACCTTAACAGCTCTATCAAGCACGATAAGTGCGGCATCAACAGTTTGTGGGAAAAGATCATGTTCGAGAACGATAAACCCAGTACTCATTGTAGGGAATTTTTGCATCCATGTTTCAAAGGTATCTAGGACGGTGCTGATCGGTTTAGGAGGAGTGGCTGCGAGAGCCCAGTCATTGCTATCGAATTCAGGTACCCAAAGGACAGCTTCAAACGTTGCAAAATGTGTTAAATTAGAATTATTATTATTATTATTATTATTTTAACATGTAACTTTAAATTATCAACATACTTTTCAAACCGCAAGCACGAGTAATAGCACGAACACGATTATCAGTATCACCATACGGAGGGCGCATATATAATGGAGTGACACCGATAATGTCTTTAATAATCTGGATAAAGGAAACAAAAATTTACATGTTAACATTCGATAATTCACTACAAGTTTTTGGGAGGTCAATTAAAGCGAACCTTCTTTGTCCATAACAATTCAGCAATGATGGCTTCATCTGAAAGGGAGGTTAGTGCTGGATGAGACCACGTGTGCACACCGATATTATGTCCTAAACAATAAATAATAAGAAATTAGTTTTAAGTTTTGATAAAAGAATTTTGAGGGAATAAGAAAATTGGTCATACCAGCATCATAAGCATCTTTGAGAATTTGAGGGTTTTGCGAAACCCGACTTCCTATAACGAATAGTGTAGCTTTAAGTTTTAAATCACTTAATTTACTTAATAATTTGGGTGTTGAAGCTGATGGGCCGTCATCGTATGTCAATCCCCATGTACCAGTCTTTGGGCATTCTTGAATATCATCGTCCGCGGTGAATTTTTGACAAGTCCAAGAACCTTGATCTGGTTCAATTACAGTTGGGGGGTTACAATTAGCTGAAAAAGGGTTGGGGACGCCACCATTTGAAGCCGGAAGTTTTGGAACTTTAGACAAATCCAAACTTTTTACCCATTCTACAACTTGAGGATCTTTAACATCCGGTAATTTATCCATGGGTGGAAATGTTAAAGTTTGTCCATTGTAAGTTATAGTTGTACTTGGAACAGCAGCTGGGGGTGACGATGTGGTGGGAGCTTGAGCATTTACTATACATAAAGTCGCAAGGACAGTCGCAAGAAAGGGAATTGTTTTCATTATTAAATAATTTTTAGAAGGGAGACAATCCTTTTTAATTTCTCAAGTATCTATCTATATTCTGTAACGACCTGCGTCTTAGAAAGTGATCGTTTGTTATGAGGTTGAATACAAGAAACTGAGTTCAGTATAAGAGTAGAGAGAAACTTGCGGTACTAAAAGGTCAGTGATTTTAAGAAAACCTGCAAACAGGGATTTAGCAGTTTATAAGTTTTTATAATAAAATAAAATTCGAATAAATAAACCCCCCTATTCTTTGATTTGCGATTCTAATTAAACTATGAAAAGTTGAATTGTTAAATTAATTCAATTTTATTAATATTGCGGACGCACGACTTGTCCAATTATGGGTTTAGGTGATTTAAAACGCGACCATTTAATTGAAAATCTTGCATTATCTTGTAAATTTATTATTTAATATGATCACACACAATATTACTAGAGGTGTCTTCTTTTGTTGCAAGTTTTTTTTTTGCGATTTACAGTACATTAAGAGTAAATAAAAAAAATAAATTTTAATCGGCGAGCTTGGCATCCAAATCGAGCACATTATTTTAATTACGAAGATCAACCAATCCAATTTAGGTTAATAAAATTCACGAGGAATGACTATCTAAAAACTTCACTTCAAAAGTTATTTTTCGGATTCTTGGCAATTCGTAAATATACGGAATGCCAAGCATTTTCTGAAACAAGAAAAAAACTATATTTAAAGATGAAATGTGATAAAAATTCTTTGAATTCGTCAAACGATAATTGATAAATCTATCTTCGTGCGTTCTATTTTTACGAGCAACAAAAGTATTTAATAAAGTTTTTGCTTTCGGAAAATGTTTTATCCTAACTCATCCCTAACTGTTAGTTTAATAATCTGGACAAATGACGATACTTCTTTTCGGCGAAAAATTTAAATTATTGATTTATGTGTTTGAAAAAGTTATTCCAAAACTACTTTTTTTTTAAAAAAAAAAAATTCATGCAATTCATGTTTCGCATCACGATTGAAGCAATAACCACAAAGAAAAAATAAATATTCTAACTTTTGTGTAATTTTTTATCTGAAATTTTATTGATCCGAGAAGATGAAACTATGATGTTAGCTCTATTTTAAGTCTGTACAATATGATCAAAGTTAAAATTGTTTCTATTTTCATCAAAACATAATAATTTTATGAGCATTTAGTCCCACACAAAAAGAAGATTTTAATTTTCGTTTGATCCATTTGAATAGATACCCTGATTTAGTATTTCTTATTTTCTGGAAGACAGATCTTTTTAATTAGAACATAAATATAGTATGGGACAGATTGGACATAGTACGGAACGGATTAGGAAGTAGTACGGGTTAATAAAAAAGGACTTACTCAGGTTTGCGCCTCAAACAACGAAGTGAAACTTTTTTTTTCACCTTACTAAATAATGAGTCAAAGGTTAAAAAAAAAAAGTCATGTGCTTTCAGTTCATTGATATGCTAATAGTACAATCAGAATATCAAAATTAGCATCACAGTTATTTATTAAATAATCATTCCGATTAAGGTAAGGAATTCGGTTAAATAGTTTAGAAATATTTTTTTTTGGATTTATACTAATGGCATCAATGGATTTTGATTCAACAATCGACAACTATTATCTATAATTATTTTTAACCTACCAGATCTTATTATTATCTAGGGGGGAGTCTCGATTGCTCATTCCAAAAAAAAAAAAAAAATCCGTGCTAAAATCATCAAAAATTGGTGTTTCACAGTGTGAACCTTATTATAAATATTGTTTTAAAAGTTTTTAATATACAGTGCGGGAACCTCTATAATTAGGAACTTTGAAAATCAAAAATAAATTGATTTATAAAAAGCCGTTCAATATTTCTAAAAAAAAAATAAAGTTTTTTATATGATCATGTTACAAAATTAGTTTCATTTTTCAAAATCTTATAATAATTTACTTTTAATAAAAATTAACTAATACCGTATTGTTCTGAATTTAAGCATCTACGTTTTTGAATATCATCGAAAATAAACATCCTCTCACATTTATATATCATTTATACGTAAAATATTTGAATAATTCTAAATTATTCACTAAAAATTTAATTTATCATTATTACTATCTTTATTATCATCATTACGCTTACTATTATCTCTTCTATCATCATTATTTATATGATCATTATCACTAATTTCAATAATTTTAAATTTCTCTAATTTTGATTTATTTATAGAATTTGATATCTTACAGTTTTAAAAGAATTGATAATAATATTATTAAAAATATTATTTAATAAAGTTTTAAATAATTAACTGAAACTAATTAACTAGTTCATTAGAAATTAACCATTATTAGAAAAATACTTTTTTTTATTTATTCTTATATTATTTAAATATTTAATATATTCTTTCATTAAATTAATACCTATTTATCTATTCTTTTAAAATTTAATTAATATATCAGAAAAATTATATTCTTTATATGATATTTTCATTTTCTCTCTAAATATATGCTTTTATTTAATTCTAAGTAATAGAAATCATATGAAAATTTTCTCTTTAAATGCATATTATTTTAAATTCAAAACTAATTTGCAATATAATTATATAACAATTCAATTGCATTAGACTATTATCTAATTATGAATAAACAGTTACCTATTTATTATTTTCAGTACTTAATAACCTTTTTATGATTAAATTGTTAACTATTTATTTTCATTATTCTGTAACTTTTTTGTAATTAAATAATTATTCATATGTTTTCAGTACTTTATAACCTATTAATTATCTATGTATTATAACACTTAGTAACCTTTTT